AAAAAACAATCAAAAATAGACAACATAGCTGCGTTTTAAAACAATAGAGGAATTTAACGCAAAATTTTGGTCGTTTTTGGTCTGCCAGAATTCGATTTTTTGATCAGATCAAAAATCGATAGGTAATTGTACGGAGAACTATATATAGAACATGTAAAAAAAATTCGAGAGTGATCGGAAAATTGTGTTTTTGAGTAATCACTGCTGCAAATTCGGAAAATGCTGTTATCAGAAAAATGCGTCTAAAGATAAATTGATCGTTTTCACTCGTAGCCAATGAGACTCTCTAGCTGCCGAGCGGCTGCTCTTTAAATTGCTATAACTCAAAAACTATTTGAGATATCGATTTGAAATGTTACAATGTTATTTTTGAAGGTGTAATCGACCAAAAAAGTTTAAATACAATACATATTATTTCATATTTTGACTAAATTAAACCAAAAATAAAGGGGTTTAAAACAAATTTTACATTTTGTTGGCCCACCTCATGCTTCTATAACTGCCTTTAAACGACGTGGGGTAGATATAACCAAATTTTCTATATCCGATGACGCAATTTCAGACTATGCCTTTATCAGAGGCTTATTTGCTGGTTGAAGACGTCTTAGCAATTTTTCGTGCCAATACAATAGTCATACCTTCCCCAAACCCGCTCTAAGGTTACGTCCGTTGTCTTGTTGAAACATCTAGGAACTTCCGAGACGCAAGGAATCCACGAAAGACTGCCTATGTTGATCCAAAATACTATTGTAAACATATGTGTTCACTATTTCATCGATAAACTTTCACTGTCGTATGCCAGTTGCTCCAAGCGTTCCCCAAACCTTGATGCTACCCTCACCGTGCTTAACGGCTCGTATTATAAATGTTGGGTTTGATAAGCCGCCATTGCTTTACGCAAAATTTTTACGCAGCCAACGCTTTCGAACATATTAAGGGGCACACCTAGTGTAAAATTTCAAAAAAAAATCGATCTTTTATCATATTTCGATATATTACACCTTTAAAAATAACATTTTAATATTTCAAATCGATATCTCAATTAGTTTTTAAATTATAGCAATTTAAAGAGCAGCCGCTCGGCTGCTAGAGAGTCTCATTGGCTATGAGTGAAAACGATCAATTTATCTTTATACGCCGTGATTACTCAAAAACAAATGATCCGACCATTATCGATTTTTTTTGACATGTTCTATATATAGTTCTCCGTACAATTACCTATCGATTTTTGATCTGATCAAAAAATCGAATTTTGGCAGACCAAAAACGACCAAAATTTTGGGTAAAATTCGACTTTTCTTTAAAACGCCGCCTATTGTCAATTTTTGATTTTTTTTATCGTAGGTCATTGTATAGACGATATTATCTAGTAGAGAATTTTTTTTCTAGATTTCATCCACGGAGAAAGCCGAAATCACTGAAGCAGTGAAGGACCTTTTTTTCGCACCGTTGGAGATCGACTATAACTTAAAAAATATTTAATTTTCTCTTTGAAAATTTCACTGTATATTCTTGAAACATGTATATATATATTTTTAAAATTTTGAAATAATTGATAAAGTCTTTTTTTCAATAAAAAAATTTCAAAAAATCCCCTATTTTTTAGGCCATTGCACTAGGTGTGCCCCTTAAATTTTGATTCGCCCGTCAGCAGGAGTCTTTTCCAAAAGAATTCATCCATATCCTTGTATTTATTTGCAAATTAAAGACGAAGTTGCTTATTTTTCACAGATGTTAGAGGCTTTTCACGTGGAACTCTGCTTCGATAGCTATCGTCTCGTAAAGCTCTTGCTATTGTTTTTGGGTGTACATTTTGCCCAATATTTAAGCGATGCTGTCGGCTATCTTTGGAGCACTTATTTTAGAATTTTTGTGTCACTTTCTTGGAGATAAAACTAATATCTCGCCAGGACAGCTTTCGAACAGTTTTTTAAGATTGTACTTTCGAACAATATTTTGCGTACTCGCATAGGGATTATGAAGATTTTATCCTATATCTGGGTAAGATTTTCCTTCTCGAAAATGTTTAATCATTAAGTTTTTAACACCACCCTTTTTGCCTTTGACTGTACATTTTGTTGGTGCCTCTAAAAAAAATAATTATCTTTTAAAACAACAGAAAATATTAATCTTTTATGAGAAATTAATAACGATAAGCGAATATAGAGAATGACCACTCCGAGTCATTCGATGCCAAACGAGATAACTTCGTCTATCTTGGAACCAGTGTTAACACCAAGTCTATTATGATTACCCTCCTGCAATATGGTGCGGAGTCATGGACGATGACAAAATCCGATGAGGAGTTTTCGAGTGATAGATACTCTGTAAGATTTATGGTCCTCAGCACTTTGGGAACGGCGAATACCGCAGCCGATGGAGCGATGAGCTGTATGAGATATGCCGCGACGTTAACATTGTTCAGCGAATAAAGAAACAGCGGCTGCGCTCGTTATGGCCTGATTGGGATGGTTGAAAATACTCCAGCTTTGAAAGTTTTCGATACAGTAACCGCTGGTTGAAGCAGAGTAAGATAACCACCTCAAGTGAGTCGATAATACGGGGTGGAGCGGAACTGGCTCTTCTTGGTATTCCCAATTCCCATCAAACAGCGAAATAAAAAGCTCGGCATTAAATCGCGTAAGCGGTGTTCTTATTTAGTTGGGATTTAAATTCATGCATGTTTCATCGTTTATCTCCTCCTTTTGCTATACATGTACCTCGATTCTTCAAAATACGAGAATTTTTAAATTTCGGGAGCTTAGGTGTGCTCCTTAAGTATACTCAATTTTTCAGCTGCTTTCGTTAAAATGAAGAAAGTCCTGCCCTGGACGTCCCAGCACATCAAAAGCCGATGAAAACGTAGGAAAAGGGAGAAAAAAGTAAGTAGACGTTGATTATGTTGGCATATCAATTGGATCAAGTCAGGACAATTTATCCAATATTTTGGGTGCATAACGCCTGATACCTAAATTAGTTCCAAAATTGTTGAATTTTGAACAAAAACAGCGGTGAATGCATACGAGGTTACAACTCTGCCATTCCCTTGGTTTTCGTTCGCTGAGAAAGGACTTTACAGTCCAAAGTAGCACCAGTTACGACTGTCAACAGTGATGTGGGAGCCAAGTTGCGAATGCGATGACTGTTTGGTTGTTAACAGGAGATATTTCGTCTTGTCCTCATTCACCACCAGAATACGAATACTTTTTTTGTAGCTTAAGAGTTGCTCTTCTATTTGAACATAAGATATTCGAAGAAATGTATAAAATTATTCATTTTATGACTGTTTATAAAAAATTTTGGGTTTTTCTGAAGAAATTTCAAGGTAATTTATTGAAAAAAGTTAATAAAAAAATTTTATTGTGATTTTTTAGGTTCATATAGCCTACACTATTAGCTGTAAAAAAAGGTATCACTTATGAAAATGCGACAATTACAACTTTTTTAATCGTGTGCATAAAACAGAAAAACACTGTTTTGAGAAAATTGGGTTCAAAGTTCTTGCGCCCGCTTATCAGTCTCCTGAGCGCATTGCCTCTCAGAGGCCATTTCTGCGGAACGATTAGGAATTTGACTGAAATTTTGTTGAAATATTTCTGAATATATTTCTAATCGAATGAGATAAGTTTAAAAAAAAAATCGATATTTTTGACCCTCTGAACTAGGTTTCCCCCTTAAGCGGGCAATCGCTATTCGAACTTCTTTATGGTCAGGTAATGAGACGTCTTTTCCATCGGCATCGATTGTGGTTTCGGCTTTGCTATCACCGGATCCTCCACTTTCACTGCTGTTTTACAGGCTGGAGAAGTGTTCCCTCCATAAATTCGGTATTATCTGGGCTTCGGTAGCTAGATAACTCTTTGTATTCTGCAACAGTGTGCTGCGGTCTTGAAACCTTCCGTAAGTCGTCGTATCTTCTCACAGAATTTTCGAGCATTGCCCTTGTCGGCTAGCTTCTAAAGCTCTTCATACTCACGCGTTTCGGCTACTTTTTTTTTGCTGCAGATGCGTCTTGCTTCCTTCTTCATCTCTCGGTATCCATCCCATCCCGTACGTGTTGTGGTCTATCACTATGTTGCGAGGTAGGCAGTCTGTTTTCTCTCCCCTGCGACATACAGTCCTCACCATACCAGCTGTTTTTGCGGCCTTTCCGAAATCCAATAGTTTCGTTTGCAGCTGTACATCAGGAGCTTGAAATGCCGTCCCACAGTTTCCGTATACCGAGTTGCTGATGAGTGCTCTCAGAGAGCAGGAGTGCAAGCTAAGCAGTCTTTTGTGATTGCAGCTTTTCGACTTCGTACTTTTCTTGTGTTGTGACGGTCGTTCTTCGATACGCAGAGCCGCATGCGTATCTTCGCTGCAACAAAATAGTGGTCCGAGTCGATGTTGGGTCCTCGGAGTATACGCACGCTAAGAACACTGGAGACATGTCTTACGTCTATCACAACATGTTCGATCTGGTTTTGTGTTTTTCGATCAGGGGACAGCCAAGTAGCTTGGTGAATTTTGTTGTGCTGGAATCTAGTTCTACAGACAACTATACCAGGAAGAGTATATATAAAAGTTTTCATATTCTCCAATTCTTTGATAAATCAGGAACAAAACGTTCAAGATAAATACAATTGAATATAAATTATCTATTATATAGAAATTAGAGCGAAAATCCGAAAAGAACTTCTGGACAAGGCATTAGCTCACTTCACGCTGTAACAATGCCACAGCTTTTGAATTCGCTAGCCTTGGCTCCGTTGTGTCTTAGTCTTGTTACTAAAAACAAAAAGAATATTCAACAGCTGCCGCAAATGACTTTAAGAGCGCATCGCTAAGAGAACCAAACGTTCTTCAAACAAAGAGTTTTAGTAGTGTTTCGGGATTGAAAAAACGCCGTCATAGGGGCAAAATATTTAAGCTTAATTTTTGAACACGCCCAGCTCTTGCTCTTCCCAAAAACTAAAGCAATTAATTGACAATTCTTTTTAATTTTATATTTTCGTTTTATTGATTTTTCTTCGATTAAAATTACAGTCATGAATGAAATAAATAGAATTTAATGGACTTACAATGATACGACACTTACAAACTAAGTTTAAGAAAATTCATTTTTATCGGGAAAATTTTCGAAATAATTTAATGTTGAATGGCGCAAATCTTCAATACTTGGCACAAGCGTTCATCGAATGGCAATGTGAAAACGATTTTACTTACTTAACGTTAATTACCGTTTGCGCCAGTTAACGAATTAAACCTTTACCTTCCTTTCCTGCTGACTGCCATCGTCATCGACTACGATCAATTGATCAGCATTACTGTCCTCCAACGAGTCCAAGCCTACTTCGGCACTGTTACGCACTTCGTTGGCGGACTGATCAACCTCATCACCTTCCTCACCCTGCGTTTCTTCCGGCTCCACCAGTGCATCAGTCTGCTGTTCGTCTTTTTTTACTTCGTCCACTTTGTTGTCGACTGTTGTAGCGACCGCGGCGACGGGAGCAGCGGCTACCGCCGCACCAGTTTGTGGCCTATTGCCACCCTGTAGGAAAGTAATTATACCTTGGAAAGGACCTTGTTGCTGTGCGGGGTTTTGTGTGGCACCAGCAGCGGCTGCTGCGCCAGCGGGTGGATTGCCACCAACAAAGTTACTAATAAGTGACTGGATTGGACCGGGCGGACGGACAGTGGTCGAGTCCGCAGTGCTGAGTTGTGTCTGTTGCTGCTGTTGACCACCCAAGTTGGAAAGCGTGCTTTGGAATTGTGTACCCAAATTAGTAGCGAATTGTTGTACGCCTTGGAAGGCTTGTGCGGTGGCGTTTGCCACACTCTGAGCGGCGTTCTGTACCTGTGTTATGGCGTTTTGCGGATTAAGGAAACCGGGAAGAGTGGGTGCGGGTGTGGCAGGCTGATCGGCGGCCACTTGTATGCCTGGTGATGCCAACTGCTGTTGTTGTTGTTGTTGCTGCTGCTGCTGACCAGTTAACTGTCCGAAAAACTGACCGAATGGTGAATTCTGTATTAACTGTTGCACAAAGTTCTGCTGAGTAGTGGTTTGAGCGGGCGTTGCCTGGGTTGCGGTTGCAGTGCCTGCTGCGGCTGCTGCCTGACGCACTTGTCCTGGCGTCAAACTCGCTTCGGCGACAAGAGGCTCATTTGAAATGGGTTGTTTTGTGGGCTCGGCATTCTGCGCGTCAGTTTCCAAGTTTTCAACAACCAAGGACTCAGATTTTAGTATTTTTTGTGGGTCGCTTTCATTTACTTCTTCTGCAATGGCAGGAACAGCAGGTGCGCCAGCTTCGAGCGCAGCGGCTGGTACTTCACTCCGTGTTTCCGTGTTAATGTCCTGTGCCTGCTTCGGTAGCTGCTCGGGCGCCCCAGCAGTTTGTAATATTGTCTCAGCACCAGCAGCAGCCTGCAACAGTTCACGATTCTCATCAACTATAGCCTGCTTGAGCTCCTGTTCAATGATTAATACGTCCTGCTTTTGTTCACTCTCGCGTAGGTTATTAGCCTTCTCAGCAGTCTCAGCGGTTTCAATGGACTGCTCATTCGGTTCAGCTATTACGACTGGCAGAAGGGCTGGACTTTCAGCTGCTTCGAATATCTTCAGCTGTTCACTTTGATCTGTCTGCAGTGGCGCCGATTGCGCCTTGATACGCTCAGCTTCTAACTGCTGGCCATCTTGTATGATTTGCACTGGTATCAGACTCTCGCTACCCAACAACGGCGCTGTAGCTGCAATCGAATTCGCATTGCGGTTTTGTCTATGCACAAGACCCGCCTGCGCGCTGGCCGCGAGGAACAACAAGATTGTAGGCGTTAAGCCGAATTTTGACTGTCGCATTTTCACTTGTCGCAATCTACTGCTCGTTGACAGGTGTTAATCAATGTTTTCTATTTCTCTTTTTTGCTGTTGTTGTAACAACTGTTTTGAATGCAAATACGATAAGCTTGCGGTGTGCGACGCTTTAATTAGCAAGTAGTGATTTCAACACAGTTATACGAGTATATACATATATGTGCAGGTAAACAAATAATTTCACTCTCAACCAAAGCGTTTGTGCGCGCGCCTACACCCAACAGTCCAAACAGCCAAACGGAACGAACGATGTGGAAGTGACTGAAGGCCAAACTTAAACAAGATGGAATTGTCAAATGTTGCTTCACTTTCAGCTCACAGCCGAAACTGTTTGAATTTCTGCTTCCGCAGCGAATTTATACTCGACGCGTCGCTGGCGCGGGCACGCAAACGCAGCCGCAACCGCAGACGCAGCAATGACAACAGCAACGCCCCAATGTGGGCTTGATCACTCTCAATTGTTGGCTGCAAAGTTAAGTCGCCGAGCCAAGTCAAGAGCCGCCCGTATACCGGCGTGTGGTGTTGTGTCTTAAGCTGAAGCGTCAAAGCCGGCATTGCTGGTTGCAGAGCCACTTATGCGGTTGCGGTGCAGGTTGGCATGCAGTTGGCTATAATGGTTTTGTTGCTTTTCTTTTCTTCGTTTTCTTTCTCTGCATTCGCTGACACTGCAGACTTTGATTTTGTTATTTAGTTGCCATCTAAGGAAGTTGCATCGCGTGAGAGGAAGCGTTGGGAAGTTGTGCGAAAAAGCGGGCGCAGAGTTGGATACTCAATAAAAAAAGGGCTTTCAAGTCATTTGGCCTCTTTTTGCTTTGCATCTACCTTATATAAGTAAAAAATAAAAAAATAAAAATAAAAAAAAAATTAAAAAAAAATCACAAATACATATACATGCATATGTATGCAAGTACATCAAAAATCTGTGCATGGTCAGAACATTTCGGTAAATTTTACAACATTTTTATACATATTTACAATTGCGAAGCGTTCTTGCACTTAATGGTAAGAAAAAAGGTTTCTTTTCATCGAATTTTACAGTTTCCCTATTAAAATGTCAATCGATAAGAGCCTCGTTGACACAAGTAACGGTTTGTATATATATATATATATATATATATATATATTTGTAAGCATCTTCTTGTAAAATTTTAATTTACTTCAAAAAAAAAGGGCTTAAAATTCAAACCATCTGCTTCTCTGCCGTGAGCTTCAGGCTCTCCGATTGCACTTCTGATATTGAAATGAAAAAGATCAACAAAAAAATAAATCAGACCTTCGGAAGCAGTTTGGGATAAGTTCTAGCTCCTTCCAATTGCTCGGAAATCCTCAACCCACACACCAAAAATGAGAGGAGGAACCCGGAAATAATCGTTTCAGCGATTAGAAAGGGTCAATTATGAAAGTGAGCCATCTGCCATTTACCTTTTAAGCTATGGCCTATATTAGCTTTGATAACTTCAATCAAGTCTTAAATGTTCGAAAAAAAAAATTATTAAAAATATACAACCGATTTTAGAATCGAAACATTTCATACCAAGCCACCAAATCGGGCTTAAAGAAAGGCACAACACAATGCAGTAGGTTCTTAGAATCATAACGCACATAAGAACAGCCTTTGAAAGCAATAAATATTGCATTGCGTGAGTATAAGTAGAGCTTGAGAAGCTGGCCGACAAGGGATAACCCTCGAAAATTCTACGAAAAGATACGACAACTTACGGAAGATGTTAAGAAAAAGGCAAATTCTTGTAGAACCCAGACACAGAGGGGAGATCTAGTGATTGATGGCTTGTGTATACTGCAATTGTGATTGGAAAACACTTATCCAACCTGCTGAATGGCAGCGAAAATGAAACACCTGGGGATGGTAAACCCGAAATCGAATCGATGACGATGGAAAAGGCGGCTATGACGAGTTTCGAATAGCAATTGCCCGTTTAAAGAACAACAAGGGGACTGCTGCTGACGACCTACCGGCGATTTTCGATTTGTATGAAAGACTACAACCCGCCACCAACAAAGTGATTGGATCTTAACGGTGTACCTTCAGACCTGGTAAAACAAAAATTTATCAGATATTCACCTTGCGCCATATCTTGGAAAAGACCCTTGAAAAGAGACTCGACACACAAACAACCTCTTGTCGATTTTAAAGCATTCTTCGATAGCACAAATACTAGCCGTAGGTACATGGGTTCGACTATGAGTAGATCGGCATTTAGAATTCGTGTAGTCTGACCATCACGCGAGCACTGCTTCGATTGCGCAAAAGCCAAACATTGCAAAGAGGTAACGAGAAAAAACCTCACGGACCGAATTTCCATCTGGGGATCGCTGCTGAATAGTAACAAAATCGACCCATTTCTGAAGCGGTTGGTGACTGGCAATAAAACGTGGATCACTTAAGACAACGTCAAGTGAAAGCGGTTGTGGTGGAAACGCAGTGAGTGGGTGAAAACAATGGCCAAGCCAGAATTGACACCCAGAAGGTTTTGCTGTGTGTTTTTTGGTGGGTTTGGCAGGGAATTATATACTATGAACTGCTACCAAACGGCAAAACTCTTAACGCGGAACTGTACTGTTCACAAGTGGACCATCTGCAGGTAGCAATCGCCCTGAAGCGGCCAGCTTTTGCCATTAGGGGAGGAACTGTGCTCTATCCGGACAAACTAGGTCATACACATCGCCAGTGACTCGCTAGAAGCACCGAGAGCTTGGCTGGAAGGTTTCTAATGCATTTACTTTATAATCTAGACCCTGCAGCAAGTGTTTACTATCTGTTCCTGTCTATGGCAAATGATTTGGCTGGTGAGGAATTTGGTGTCATGGGAAGTCTGTGAAAATCGATTATCCAAATTTTTTGCGGTCTCTATTGGGTGCTTTTGAGAGAGGTATAATGGCGTTATTTTCAACATAGTAAAAAGTAATCGGCGGCGCATATTTGACACAAATCTATTTAATGGAAAAATAAGGGATTACTTCTTACTTGAGCAATTTAAAGTCAGACAGCTGGCATTTTTCATTCTTATGTACCGATATTAGCAAGTCTAACCACAACAACCAACCAACCACCCAACCAACTTAACATGATTCGCCTCAACCTTGCCTTCGAACCGCATAAAACAGTTCTATCCGTTGATTGAGGTCATTCATGTTTATTGTTTACTTTCACTGGTAGCTATCACCTGTAGGCGCGTACACAGTCGTATGCATGATTGTTGTTGCAACCGATGCATTTGAACCTCTCTGCATTTGCTGCGTCGCGTCGCCCTGATCGCATTAATGACTTTGGAAGCTCTGTTTCATTTCCAAATGTGTTTGCATAGAAATGTGAAATGGTTCAAGTTTAATGAAAGAAAAGCATAACACACACATACATACATATACATGATTGTTTAAGATATATCTGAGTACTCCGTATAAGCAGTCGCAGAGTAAAAGTGTAGAAAATGACTGCAGCGCAGCGTTAATAATCACAAAATTTATGCAAATTGTTCGATATCGCCTGTCGTATAATAAATGAGTGAGATTTTCAAAAGGACCGACCGAGCCAAATGACCAAGTATCCATAAGCAACAATGACTAGTAAGCAGCAGAGCTTTTACTTTTTCGGTGCATTCTGAATTATGCAAATCAAATGTCTTTAAATAGCATTTGCCCGTATTTGAGACTTGAATTCGAAAGAAAATAAATGGAGGTATTTATTAAAATTAGAACAAACAACCGATTAAAAACGAAAATACAAAAAAAATGATATTAATAAAAAATTAAATATTCACATAATTAACGATAAATATTAAACACCTAAATATTGGAAAAACTAACTGAGTTTTCTTTACATATAATATAACATAACAATATTAAGCGTAGTAAAAAGAAATCTATTATATTTGCATGCCATTAAAGGCTAAAATTAACATAGTTAGAATAAACCGATTTTTGTCAAATATGCGCCGATTTGTTCGCTAACATTTTGCGATTTCAAAGGTAATTTCATTATAGACGCCCTCATGCCTTTTGGCAAATGAGACAGTCGATTACCACAAACCTACTTGAAGCGATTTTTTCACCAGCAAAATTGTTCGCCATGGACAGACACAGATGGTAATCACTTGGTGTTAGATCCAGACTATAAGGTAGATGCATAGAAATCTCCCAACCAAGCTCCCGGTGCTTCTGGTGAGTAACTATCGATGCGATGTCACCTTTTCGTTGTCTTTATGAAACTCAATTCCTCTCCTACTGGACAAAGCTGGCCGCTTCTGCTCGATTGCTACCATCAGATAGTCCAAATGTGCACAGTACAGTTCCGAGTTAAGAGTTTTGCCTTATGGGAGTAAGCTCATAATATATAATTCCCTGCGAATCCCACCAAACACACAGCAAAACCTTCCTGGCCCTCAATCCCGGCATGGTCACCGTTTCCGCCGGCTCACCGTGTTTTGGCCACGACCGTTTTCAATTGACGTTGTCGTAAGTGATCCACCTCTCATCGCCAATCACCAACCGCTTCAAAAATTTGTCGATTTTGTAGCGACTCAGCAGCGATTCGCAGATGTAAATTCAGTCCATGAGGTTTTTTTTGCGTTAACTTGCGTGGCACCCATACTTCGTGATTCTTCTCATATCAAACTTTATTTAAATGGTTCCAAACCGGTTTTTTGTGCAAGCTTTACCTCTTGGGAAATCAAAAGAGTGCTTACATGGCGATCGGACTCGACAATGTCCATGATTTGATCGACATTTTCTACAATTGGCTTTCCACTCCGTGAAGCATCTTTGACAACGAAATTACCAGAATGAAACCGAAATTGTGCATGATTGGGACCACAATTATCTTCGGATAAGCCTCGTTAACATCGCCTATAAGGTCCTGTTGTGCGTTTTGTGTGAAAGATTGAAGCCCACCACCAATAAAGTGATTGAACCTTATCAGCGTGGCTTTAGACCTGGTAAGTCAACCATTGACCAGATATTCACCATGCGCCAAATCTAGAAAGAGACCCCGCTTTTTCATCGATTTTAAAACAGCTTTCGACAGCATGAAAAGGAGATGCCTCTACGGCACCAGGTAAAATTACCAGAGGAAGGAGTGAACTTGGTTCGACTTAATCCATTTGCTATGGTGTCCATACTTGTGACCCAAGGGATGTGTGAATCAAGTTTCCGCAAAATGTCTCAGTTCTTAGTTGAGTTATCTTGTACACAGACCAATAAACGGATAGACAGACATTACTAAATTCGTCTTGTTATTTTATTAAGTTTGATTTGAATATGTCCATATCCATCTCGATTATTTCATGACGTTAGCTGCCG